AGCTGGGGAGATAGCTAGCTGGCTAGATAGCTAACTATTTATACTGCGGGTAGCTAGCTAGCTAGCTAGCTGGCCAGCTAGCTAGCTAGCTAGCCAGCTAGCTAGCTAGCTAGCTAGCTAACTGCATGGGACGTATGGAGACGATGGGAATAATAAGGGGGGCGAAGCGAAATAATAAAATAAAAAAAAGAAAATTAAAAAACAAAATAAAAACATTTATTTATTTACTTATTTATTTTCATCTATTTATTTTTATTTATTTATTTATATATCTATTTTTATTTATTTATTTATTTATTTATTTATTTATATATACATCTGGCTGGGTCCCAGTATGCGTTGTAGCGATGAAACTGGCGGACGTTATCGGCCCCGAAGTAGGGGCCCCTCTCCTCATCCTGCTGCTGCTGCTGCTGCTGCTGCTGCTGCAGCAGCAGCAGCTGCTGCTGCTGCTGCTGGTGTTTGGGGTATATGTTTTGTTGCTGCTGTTTAAAAATTCTTTTTTCCTGAGCTGCTAGATATGGTGATGCTGCTGCTGTTGCTGCTGCTGCTTCAGGGGCGTGCTGCTGCAGCTGTGAGTATCCCAGCCGCAGCAGCCGCTGCTGCTGCTGCTGCTGCCCTAGTGCTTCTGCTGCATTTGCTGCTGTTTCTGGCTCCCACGATACGCGCAGCACGGGGCTACCTAGCTGCTGCTGCAGCTGCTGCTGCAGCTCCTGCTGCTGCTGCTGCAGCTCCTGCTGCTGCTGCTGCTGCTGCTGCTTGCTGCTGCGGTCATCGAACATAACATGCCACGACGGCTTCTTTGCCTGCAGCTGCTGATATACTCGTCGACTCCTGCTGCTGCTGCTGCTGCTGCTGCTGCTGTAGCTGCTGCTGCAGAAGCTGCTGCTGCTGTTGCTGCAGTTGCTGCTGTAGGGAAAGACGCGGAAGCCACACACACAACACTGCTGCAGCAGCAGCAGCAGCAGCAGCAGCAACACTGCGGGGGTAGCAGCAGCAGCAACTCCTACGGCGGAGCGCATCTGCTTACACAGCATAGAGAAATAACACGAACGAGTTGCTGTTGCTGCTGCAGCAGCAGCTGCAGCAGCAGTTGCTGCTGCTGCTGCTGCTGCTGCTGCTGCTGCTGCTAAGATATTTCAG